AATATCTTTTTTATAGCTTTCCTTGATACTGCCATTAGTGAGTCATTGGTGGTGAGGGGGTCAAGTATGGCCGACTCCCTGACCCTGATGGAACTGGCCTAGCTGGCAGGGTTTTATGAAGCCAGGTTCCTGAGCAGGGAATTTCTTACTTCAGAACATGGGTCAGGGAGTGAGAGGCACCATGTTCTATGCCAGGTGAAGGGGGGAAAGTCCAGCAAATAGAAAAGATGGCAGGGACATTCAAAATTGGTATACAGAAACTGAACTAGGAACCAGGAAGAGGAGAACAAACACCAACAAGATGGTAATAAATGTGAATTAGTTCAAGAATTGTCTGGTCAGGCTTTTTTGTCTACAACTTTTTTTTTAATAGACCTGAAAGGGCAGTAAATTCAAGTTTAAAGCATTTAGAATGAGATATACATCTTAGAGGGCACAAGGACTGGTGAGATGGAAAGAGGTGCTGATGTTAAAAAATCACTCCCCTCTGAGTAACATGAAAACATGTCCCTGTCTGAAGTATTTTTAAAATTTGACTTTTGCAATTATTAGAGTATCAGCAATTATTTTAGTGATATAGCTTAATCTTTTGTAAAGATGAAAGAACGTTGTGTCCTGGCCTTGTCTTTTTTTTTTTTTCGGGGTAAGTGGGCCTCTCACTGTTGTGGCCTCTCCCGCTGTAGAGCACAGGCTCCGGATGCGCAGGCTCAATGGCCATGGCTCACGGGCCAAGCCGCTCCGCGGCATGTGGGATCCTCCCGGACTGGGGCACGAACCCGTGTCCCCTGCATCGGCAGGTGGACTCTCAACCACTGCGCCACCAGGGAAGCCCTGGCCTTGTCTTTCTAATAAACTTGTGAATTTACCTGAGTGTGCTTGGTCTCATTTATTTAGGATAATTTAGGCTCTGATTTTCTTGGTCTTGGCTAAGGATATAGCACAATATCAATAAAAAGTCTGGTCAGTCATTTCAGTGCAGGAAACTTTTCATTGCCTTAATTCAGGATGGCATAAATAGCACACACATAGCCTTGATTAATAGTCTCCCTGTCCTTGGATAGTTTGAGTATGTCTCTTTTCTCTGACTTTGTTTTCCTATTTATACAATAGAGGATTAGAGAATGAGGTCAGAGGTCACAAATTGGTGAACTATGAACTAAAGTAAGTCAACAGACTGTTAGCTTGGTTAAGGAATTGAGTTTTTCCTTGTATTTCAGCTTGTTTTAATGAGGCCTTATGCCTTTAGGCAGGGCATACACACTCACATTTGCCTGGGGCACCACCATGCACCCTAACCACTGTTATATCTAGACGCTATGTTTGTATTCCCTGCATGAGTGCTGTAAACATTTGAATTTGTGGCTCTTTGATTAGACATTTTGTCAAATTTCTTTAGACTCCTAAAGTTTTAATTCTATAAAACCTCTTGAGAAAGTGAGTGTTCTTTCCCACCCCCCATTAATAGAAGGGAGATAAGCTGGAAGGAAATTGATACATGGTCAGGGCTACCTGGTATCATGCTATCTTCACAAACTATCTCATTTAATCCTCAGAGTACTCCAGTGAGATTGATACTATCATACCCATTTTATAGGTGACAGAATGATCTCAGAGATGTTTTGCCCATGGTCAGAAATTTTATTAATTGTGGGAATTGAGTTAAAACCCAGATCTATTTGTATCCAAAACCTCTCTGTGAACAGTTTTCCTTAGTGGGCAAAAATTTTTCACAAGGATCTCTTGAATAATGAAACTTTACACAGACTTTTGAAACACTGTCAAAGTTAGATGTATAAAAGCTGTCAGATGTCCAAATATCTCAAAACTGTTTTTATAAAATATTTTGTTTGCATGCTGTTTTCTTTGACCAATAGGGAGTTGCCTTCATGCTATGCTGGGGAACATATCTGACTGCCTAAAGAGCCACGCAGAACTTAGGAATATTGTTAGAAAAAATTTGGCTTTCATTTACACATTCATGTGACTTAGAAAATATGTCACAAATCACTCAAATTAGAAATGTAAAGCGATTTTTATCACATAACTTTCTCTATTTGGTTGCAGAATACTAGCTATCCTATAAATTCAATTTGTTTGTATAAAATATCACTGAAACTCCACATGCCTTAATCTGGAAATAGTACTTGATTATCTAGAAAGTTTACCTGACATAGAACAGTTCTGGTAAGAAGTTTGGGTATGTCTGAATAAAGGAAGACAGAAAGAGTGTTAATATAATGATTAATTGAGTAGAAAACTTTGAGGTTTCTGTATTTTCAATTGAGAGTTTTGTAAGACTTAAGTCTTCTAATATAAACAGAAGCTTTGTGTTTAGGATGATTTTTATGTTAACATTAGTCACTGAATTGGCTACGATAAACGTGGAGACCAGAAAATGTCCAGAAGAAGAATGTGTTTTTAAAAGGGAAAAAAGGTAAAGATGAAACATTAAAAATAAAGTAAAAGAGTGTCCCCACCCTTCCTCCTGATAACCTCTAAGTCTGTGAGTCTGTTTTGTAAATAAGTTCATTTGTATCATTTTTTTTAGATTCCGCATATAAGCAATATCATATGATATTTGTCTTTCTCTGTCTGACTTCACTTAGTATGATAATCTTCAGGTCCATCCATATTGCTGCAAGTGACGTTATTTCATTTTTAATGGCTGAGTAATATTCCACTGTGTATATGTACCACATCTTCTTTATCCATTCCTCTGTTGATGGATATTTAAGTTGCTTCCATGTCTTGAATGTTATAAATAGCTCTGCAGTGAACATTGGGTGCATGAATGCTTTTGGATTATGGTTTTCTCTGGATATATGCCCAGGAGTGGGATTGCTAATCATATAGTAGCTCTATTTTTAGTTTCTTAAGGAACCTCCATACTGTTCTCCATAGTGGCTGTACCAATTTACATTCCCACCAACAGTGAAGGAGAGTTCCCTTTTCTTAACATCCTCTCCAGCATTTATTGTTTGTAGATTTTTTGATGATGGCCATTCTGACTGGTGTGAGGTGATATCTCATTGTAGTTTTGATTTGCATTTCTGTAATAATTAGTGATGTTGAGCATCTTTTCATGTGCCTCTTGGCCATCTGTATGTCTGTTTCTTTGCGGAAATGTCTATTTAGGTCTTCTGCTCATTTTTTTGATTGGGTTGTTTGGGATAGATTGGGAGTTTGGGATTGACATGTACACACTACTATATTTAAAATATGTAACCAACAAGGACCTACTGTATAGCACAGGGAGCTCTGCTCAATATCCTGTAATAACCTAAATGGGAAAAGAATTTGGAAAAGAATAGATACATATATAACTGAATCCTTTTGCTGTACAGCTGACACAACATTGTTAATCAGCTATGCTCCAATATAAAATAACTTTTTTAAAAAAAGAGTGCCTATATAGAGTACCTTTCTGTGATTTTAAACTTTGGATTAACCAACATTCATCTGATTTAACCAAAAGATTGAGGCAATAATTTAAAATTTTTACTTAAAACAAAGAGTACTCAAATTTACAGATAGCTATTTTCTGCAAGTGCAGTGCATATTATTATGAGACATACTAAATCAGTTAGACTGCTAAATTTTACTTTCTGTGAGTGGGGCTTTGGGAGTGGGGGAGAGGGGCAAAGAAACTGCTGCCCTTTTCAGATAATTCACAAATGTGCTAATTATGTGTCAGATATGAAAGTTGAGGCATTGTGACCTTCAAGCCAACAAAAGACCTTTTCAAGTAAGCCATTTCCATGTATATTAATAAAGTGAACAATGCCGTTCCCCAGTTAAATAATGTATGGCTGCTATTTCATTATATGTAAATGCAAACCATGGACTTGTTTCACTGATGACATATTTAAAGTAATGCTATACAAAAAGAAAAGGCTGCAAATCCATGTAAGTAACAGTTTGTGGTACTCTACAAATAGTCATCCAAGGATATGTTTGTTGTTCGCTTCCACTGCATGCAGTTTAAGTGCGGTTTCTCTGCAACTGAATGCATTTTGGATTTGATCAGTAAAACTTGCCATGTGCTAAAGTATATAATAACTAACAGAGATATTTGGAAAGTGATTGTCAGAAAAGCAATCTGTTTGCAGTGATGAAGACAACAACGTATTTTGTAGATTAGAGAAAACATTGCCTCTCTACATGAATACTCACCTGTTAGCAAGGGAAATGTTGAATAAGAGCGAGTTTCAAAGGAAAAGAAAGGAATTCCATGATCTTTCTCATCACTCATTCATGGTATAAAGAAATTATTTGTAAACATTGGACTTAGGTAATGGATGTGAATGTGGTTATTTAAAAGGGCACCCATTTCCCTGGTGAGTGTGAGTTTAAAAAGCAATAATGTATAAAAGAATATGGGTATTACTAAGGGCTTGAATCAAATTGACTGCTTGGATGTCAAATAGTGCCTACGAAGTTGTGGTAGAAAATCAAGAACAGGAAGAAGAATTCAATTATCTTGTATTTGTCCAGCTTTGCAGCATATTTGATGCTGAATAAAACATGAATAAAGATACAGTCATGCTTAATGCAACTTAAGTATGCATAATAGACCTCTGGGAAATAATAAACCAATTACAAACTTAAAATAAACCACAATCATATAAGATTCCAAGAATCTATCAGCATTCAATCCATACGTAAACTTTTTTATCAGTCCCATAGGAAACCATAATAGTTAGCATCTTATTATGGGTTAGGTGTTGATACCAAGAGACTGTACAGGGTTTACGAATTCACTCACCAGTCTTCCTTTTGGCTTTAAATGATTATCCATGGCCCTTTGTTGTTATTTAATATCAATAGATTATCTGAATGCTTCCATAAAGCAGATACCAGTGACATTTATGAAAATGCTGTTGTTTGTCATTGAGATTTTCAGTGAACATGTACATACTCTTACTTGTCTAGGATGACAAATGTTTCTTCATTTCCTTCATAATCTGAGATAATTTCGATTGTTTTATATTGTATTTAAGGTGGCAAATCTTGCTTGTTCCATGTCAACAAATGAAGATGGAATTAAGATTGTCAAAGTTGCAGCCAATCACCTGGAAACCTTGTGTCCACAGGTATGATAACTAAGTTACTGACTCTTTCAATAAACTAGCTATAAAAAATTATATGTAATGCTTCAGACTTTCATACATATGGAAATATTTTAAAATATATGTTTTAAACACAGACAATGACTCATCCTAAGGTCATACTTTGTTGTTTGCTAAGCACCTCATTTTTTATTTAACACCTGGTTCTTGTAACATATCATGAGAGACCATATTAGAATTTTGTGAAAGATATAGCTTGAAATCAAAGCAGTGTTTTGTCTAACAGATCTGATTTATTTTTAGTCGTATTTATTTTGAAACCTCAAATTTTAAGACATTAATGTTTTTTTCCCTCTTATCAAAAGAAGGCATGAGTTTGAAAAAAGCCAACAAATATTTTCTTGTCTGCAATTCAGGAATTTTTTAAAATCTGAAGAGCAATACATTCTTTAGGGAATTATTTTTAGATGATGGATTGTCTTGAAACCATGAATCAGGATACACATGAAGTCAATCTTAAACACCTTCCTTGTCTTAGAATAAGCAATAAATAGTATGGATAATTACTTCATAATAAAAACCACACATGTTGTAAGGATGTGAAATATAATAATGATTAGAAACTTCAAGTCTCTGGACATCTGCTTAGATTCTGATTTTACTAAAAGTAGAGTGTGTGTTAAATTCTTGATTTGCCTTGCTGGTGACTCCGTCTCTAAGAATATTGAGGAAACAGTAAGGGAGAGTGCTTCCTTAGACTTAATGTTGATTAACAAGTGAACACGGGCTGAAGAAATGCAGTCTGAGGACCTGCACCTGAGATCTCGTAACTGATGTCAGTTTTCTGTGAGGTTCCACAGGGAACAGAACTCTGCAGTGAGGTCTCTGAAGTGGCAAAATCACTTACACTCCCCTCAAGAGTCTGAATTCTCATTTCTCCACATGGTGCATAACACTTGATGCTGTCATTTTTGAAATGTCTTTTGAATCCAAATAGTATTCAATGTATCTCATTGGTTTCAATTTATAATTTTCTGATTACTCAAGAAAACATTTTTTTAAAACATTTATTAACCATTTGGCTTTCTAATTCTGAGTTGCCTCAACCCTTTGCCAATTTTTAGTTTGTTTTTTTTTTTTAAATTGCATTGCTTAGGTTTATTAAAAATGTCTTCTGTTGACTATGGCTTTTCTTTTAACTTTGAAAACAATATTTTAATCATAAAAGATTTTAAGAACTTTAATGTGAACATATGATCTATCTTTTAATTTCTTAAATAGATATTTGAGCACCTACCCAGTGCCATGGTTTGTTGGTTTGTGCTTTGTCAAGAAATTCTTGCAACCAAATGTTATATAGTTCCCACATTTTCTTTTTAAAAGATTGAATTATTGTTATTTAACCTTTAGATCTTTTTTTCATCTGAAATTTATTTTTATGTCTAAATGAAGTGGGATTTTTTTTTTTTTTTTTACAGTGGTAACCATTGGGAAACCGTCATGTATTAAATAGTTGATCCTTTCCCAATTAATGTGAAATGTTACCATTTTTCACACATACACACACACTTTTTAAATGTTTCCATTGTTTCATATGTATTTGTATACATATGTGCATAAACTATAAGTAATGCATGCATATATATACAATACATGTTTTATTTAATACATTATACATGTATAATACATACATATCAAATCTGAATAGTTTCTTTACTCCTATTCTGTATGAAATATAAATTGATAGATAAATTGAAATATGTTCCAAAGTATACAATTTTCTGGGATCTCTATTCTATTCCAGTGACTCATTTCTTTATCCCTGCCACAGTATTATGGAACCTTTTTCCAGTTTTATTGAGATATAATTGACATACAGCACTGTGTAATTTTAAGGTGTACAGCGTAATGATTTGACTTAGATACATCATAAAATGATTACAACAGTAAGTTTAGTGAGCATCCATCATCTCATACAGATACAAAATAAGAAAGAAAAAAAATTTTTCTTGGGATTTGCCCTCTTAACAACTTTCATACATAACATACAGCCGTGTTCATTATATTAACCATGTTATACATTACATCCCTAGTACATACTTTCTTCTAACTAGAAGTTTGTAACTTTACCACTTTTATCCAACTCCCACTCTTTCTACTTTCTACCTCTGAAAAGCACAAATATTGTCTCTTTTTCTATGAGGTTGTTTGTTTTTGAAGTATAATTGATGTACAACACTACATGAGTTCCTTGTGCACAACATAGTGATTCAATATTTCCATATATTTCAAAATGGCCATGATAAGTCTAATTACCATCTATCATCATATAAACATATGATATCATGACTGACAAATTCCCCACACTGTATATTTCATACCTGTGACATTTATTTTATACATGGAAGTTTGTACCTCTTAATCTCCCTCACCTAGTTCTCTCATCACCCCATCCCCTCCCCTCTGTTCTTGGTATCTATAACTTTGTTTCTGTTTTGTTATGTTTGTCCATTTGTGTTTTTTTTTAGATTTCATATGTAACTGAAATCATATGGCATTTGTCTTTCTCCGTTTGACTTATTTCAATTAGCATATTCCCTCTAGGTCTCTCCATGTTGTCACAAATAGCAAGATTTAATTATTTTTTATGGCTGAGTAATGTTCCATTGTGTGTCTTTATGTGTGTGTGTGTTTACCACATCTTCTTTATCCATTCATTTATCGATGAGCACATAGGTTGCTTTAATATCTTTGCTATTGTACGTAATACTGCAATGCACATATCCTTTCAAACTAGTGTTTTTGTTTTCTTTGAATAAAAAGCAAGGAGTGGAATTTCTGGGTCATATGGTAGTTCTATTTTTAATTTTTTTGAGTAATCTCCATACTGTTTTCCATAGTGACTGCACCAATTTACATTCCTGTAAACAATGCATAAGGGTTCCCTTTTCTCTACATCCTTGCCAACATTTGGTATTTGTTGTCTTTTTTATAATAGGCATTCTGACAGGTGTGAAGTTGACAGCCCGTGGTTTTAATTTACATTTCCCTGATAATTAGTGATATTGAGCATCTTTTCATGTGCCTGTTGGCCACCTGTATATCTTCTTTGGAAAAATGTCTATTCAGGTTCTTTGCCCATTTTTAATTGGGTTGTTTCTTTTTTTGATGTTGAGTTGAATGAGCTCTTTGTATATTTTGGATCTTAACCCCTTAATGAATATTTTGTTTGCAAATATCTCCCATTCAGTATGAGGCCTTTTAATTTTGTTGACAGTTTCCTTCACTGTGCAAAAGCTTTTAAGTTTGATGTAGTCCCATTTGTTTATTTTTGCTTTTGTTTCCCTTCCCTAAGGAGATTTATCCCCCCAAAATATTGCTAAAACCGATGTCAAAGAACATCCTGCCTGAGTTTCTTTTTATTGTTTACTTAACATTGTAGTTACTTTATTGCTCTAGAAAACTTAGTTTTTAAAACCATCAGATTACATACATAGTGATAATAAGACTGCCCCCCACACAATCAACTGTATATTACGAGGCTTCTCTAACTTAGTAGATAAATATTACAAAATTACAAAACTAGCTGGTTACAGTTGAGCTATCAAGTAGGTATCACATTTCTATAGATCAAAAAGTTGAATAAATGTCACTGATAAGTCACTGATGTCACTGATGTCACTGATAAGTCACCAAGTGTATTTGAGAAATCCAAGTTACATGCACATAGAAGGAAACTGGTTACAAAAACCATTAAATTACTCTGTGTTAACATTTTGTAATGTTTTAAACATTTGCAATCATGCAACAATGAATAAAGATCAGAATGAATTTTAAAAAGGAGTTAATGGAAGCTGAATGAATGTATTTAACATATTACACAACTCAAATCACAGTTGCATAATACATCCAATCCCCCCAAACGTATCTGTGCATTACGCCATTGAAACGCACACTATTTCCCCCACAACTCCTCTGGCTCCATTCCCAACCAATAACCTTTCCTATGAACCTTTCTATTTAATCTTTTAAGTCAGATATGATGGGTAAGTATGTATAATCTTCATTATTATTTCAGAACAGATACAAAGTTTAGTCATATGCTCAATCTTCAGTTACATTACTTTCAAAAGGCATCTGAACTGCTGTAACCGTCTATGACAATTCAAGCCTAAGAAACCGAGAAAAGTGGCAGTCAAGAATCTGATCTAAGTGACTGTGTAAACTATGATAATACTAAAACCTGTGTGTCCACATTTCTAAAAGAACGATTTTCTGTTTGAGAAGTGTTACTCAATGGATCTCTGAAAGGAAAACTGACTGACTACTGTACTGCTCTCTGATGTAAAACACTTAGGTGACCACAAATATTTACCCAGTTGGTTAACAAGGTTTCATTTGGGCCTTTTAAAAAAATATTCAAAGCCACAAAAGTAATTATGAAAATAAAATTTTGGAAGGTCATAGTATAAGGTACATATAGAATTCCTATTATAATGGTACATCCAAAATAAATCTGTCCTAACAAAGCAGCACAAAATCAATTTAGAAACAATTTGAAATTACAGTGGGAAGTGTTTTTGTTAAAATCGTCGACCAAAATTACTGAATAGCAAAAGAATACTGTCTCAAAATATACTGAATTTACATGTTAATATTACCACAGTGAACTCATGCCAGATATAAATTCAGGTTACCAATTAGATGAAAACAAACTTTAGAGCTATTTTTACCAGAGAAATAAATGTACTTCATGATAAAGGCACAGCAGCATCTGAAGAATTTTTGATACATTTATCACAAGATTCAAACTTCCCTAACGATGAACAACACATTACAATAAAGTTTTCAGCAGGTGTTTAAAAGGCTTAACATGCCAGGAAAATGAATATTTTTCTTTTGAGATGCATTTATGTAAATTGCATTGAGGTCACTTTTACATCTGGAATTAACCATCCCTAACAGAAGTACCAGCAGCTAACAATGCTCATTTATATTATACATAACTTAGCTGAATGTTAAAC